CAACTGCTCCTGTATTTACGAAGTCAAGCTGCCCGTAGAGAAGTGGCATATACCTACCCAGAAAGATGTATCCACATGGGAACATTTGGGAGATATTGAGTTGCCAAGGTTGCAAATCAGTAGCAATATCGATTTGCTTATTGGTAACAATGTTCCAGCAGCATATGCACCTATAGATGTAAGGACAGGACCACCAGGGAGTCCATATGCTACAAAGTCGCCTTTAGGATGGGTTGCCTGGGGAGTTAAGAAAGGTGGAAAGATGAAGTATTCAAGTAATTTTGTCATTGCTGACAATAGTTTAGAGAAGTTATATAGACAGAGTCTGAACTATGACTTTCCAGAGAGAACTGTTGATGACAGAAGAGAATGGTCGTGGGAAGACAGGCGCTTTATGGAAGTGATGGACAGTTCTTGTAAGATGGTGAATGGTCATTATCAAGTGGATCTCCCTCTGAGAAATCCAGATGTGAAATTGCCTAACAATCGGCATATGGCAGAGCAGAGGTTAAAGGGTCTGCAGGCGAAAATGAACAAGAATTCACAATTCAAGGCAGACTACATAGAGTTCATGGAGAAGGTGATTGCAAATGGGTATGCGGAAAAGGTTCCTGATGGAGTGACGGCTAAGAAGGGGAAAGAATGGTATATACCCCATCATGGTGTATATCACCCTAGAAAGCCAAACAAGATCAGAGTGGTGTTTGACTGTGCAGCGAAGTGTGATGGTACATCGCTGAATGATGTCTTGCTACCAGGGCCAAACCTAATGAATGATCTTAAAGGAGTACTCATGAGATTCAGAGAGTTTCCTGTAGCCTTCGCAAGTGATATTGAGTGCATGTTTTATCAGGTGAAGGTGCCTGAGAGTCAACGAGACCTGTTGAGATTTTTATGGTTACCAAAGGGAGACTTAGACCAGAAGCCCAAGGTTTATCGTATGGCAGTGCATTTGTTTGGAGCTGTGTCTGCACCATCATGTGCTAATTATAGCTTGAGAAGAACTGGTATAGACAACATACGCAATGCAAGAGAAGAAACAGTCAACACACTACATAACAATTTCTACATGGACGATGGACTGAAGTCAGTGGAAAATGTTGAACAAGCCATTCAACTGGTGAAGGAGCTAAAGGCCTTGTGCAAAGAAGGAGGCTTCAACCTCACCAAGTGGTCTAGCAATGAACGAGAAGTTTTGAGAGAGATTCCCCTGGATGATCGAGCTAAAGAACTGATGGACTTGGATCTGGAATCATCGCAGCTTCCTACAGAGAGAACACTAGGTGTGTTGTGGAATGCAGAGACGGATGAGTTCCAATTCAAGTGCCAAATCAAGAAGACAGAGGTGACAAGAAGGTCAATGCTGTCTGAAGTCAGCTCGATTTATGATCCATTGGGTTTTATAGCTCCACTCCTCATTCCAGCAAAGAGTGTGCTTCAAGAGATGTGCAAACAAGAAGCTGGATGGGACGATGAACCAAGTGATAACATACATGGCAAGTGGCAGATGTGGAAAACAAGCATGCAAGATTTGGAAGAAGTAAGAATTTCCCGATGCTATGTACCAGCTGAATTCGGAAACGTGACATACAGAGAGCTGCATGCTTTCGCTGATGCAAGTGAAATTGGATATGGTTGTGTTATCTACCTCAAACAAATCAACTCAAGTGAAAATATACACTGTTCATTTGTGTTCGCGAAGGCAAGAGTAACTCCTTTGAAGAAAATTACAATACCAAGATTAGAACTTACAGCAGCAACATTGGCAGTGAGATTAGTCTCAATTGTTCAAAGAGAGTTAGACTTCAAGATTGACAAAGCAATCTACTGGACAGACAGCACTGCGGTTTTGAGATATATAAGGAATGACAGAGCAAGATACCACACCTTTGTTGCCAACCGTGTTCAAGTCATAAGAGAAGCTACAGTCCCTGAACAGTGGCATCATGTGGATACCAAGAGAAATCCAGCAGACTTGGCATCACGAGGTGTTAAGACAACTAACGAATTGAATAATAGTAATTGGTTTTGTGGACCAGGCTTTCTGTGGGAGAAGGAAGCGGAATGGCCAGAACAGGTGATTTCCATGCGGATAGAGGAGAATGACCCAGAAGTGAAGACTAGCTGTGCAACCATTGAGTTTGAAGACACATCAATTATAGATTCCTTATTGACGAGAATTTCTGGTTGGTGGAAATTGAAGAGAGTAATGGGCTGGGTCATCATTGCTAAGAACAAGTTCCTCAAGTTCATAGGAAAACTGGAATGCCAATTTGAAGAAGTTGTCCAGTGCCTAACTCCAAAGATGTTATATGAAAGTGAAGTAGCAGTTGTTAAATATGTTCAAAGGAAGGCATACATAGATGAGATAGAAGTCCTGTCCAAAGGCAAGACAGTGACAAAAAGAAGTCCTCTTTTCAAGTATGACCCCGTGTTGACAGATGATGGTATTATTCGTGTTGGTGGACGACTGAAGAAGGCAGACTTGCTTTATGAGATAAAGCATCCGATTGTGTTACCAAAGAACTCACAAGTATCTGTAATGATTGTTCGGGATGCTCATTCTACTGTTGGTCATTTGGGAAGAAATAGTATTTTGGCGAAAGTCAGAGAGAAGTATTGGATATATGGAGCAAGTCAGTTGGCGAAAAGAGTAGCGAGAAGTTGTGTCACATGTCAACGGTATCACGCAGCACCATGTGAGCAGGTAATGGCTGACTTACCAGCTGATAGAGTTGTTGCAGAAGTATCACCATTTACATTCTGTGGTATGGATTATTTTGGGCCTTTAACTGTGCGCAGAGTGAGATCTGAGGTGAAACGGTATGGTGTGATTTTCACTTGTTTTTCTTCCCGAGCAGTCCACCTAGAGATCGCGCACTCGTTAGAAACTGATGCATGCATAAATGCTATACGCAGGTTCATGGCCAGAAGAGGTCCTGTTAGAAGCATCAGATCTGACAATGGCACCAACTTGGTTGGGTCAGAAAAGGAGTTGAGACATGCACTTGAAGGTTTGGACCAGTCTAGAATGAATGATGTTCTGTGTGCAGAAGGCATAGAGTGGCACTTCAATCCTCCAGCAGCATCTCACTTTGGCGGAGTGTGGGAGAGAATGATTCGTAGCATAAGGAAGATTTTGTACAGCCTGTTGAGAGAACAACCCCGAATTGTTGATGATGAGACGCTCAGTACTGTATTCTGTGAGGCTGAGAATATTGTCAACAATAGGCCACTGACTACAACGTCATCAGATCCTAATGATTTACTACCATTGACACCTAACATGCTGATTAATCCACGAGCTTGTGCACTTAGTTCGCCTGGAGTGTTCGAGAAGAGTGACATGTATGCAAGAAAACATTGGCGTCAATCTCAGTACTTGATAGATGTATTTTGGTGTCGCTGGAGAAAGGAGTATTTAGTTACCCTGCAGCAGAGACCGAAGTGGCAGAGAAAAGGACGCAATGTACAAGTTGGAGATATTGTGCTTGTTGTTGACAAGTCGGTACCCAGAAATAGTTGGTTGATGGGAGTAGTAGAAACAACTTTCAAGGACAAGAAAGGCGATGTGAGATCTTGCAGAGTGAGGACCAAGACGTCAATCTTAGAAAGACCTGTCGCTAAATTATGTATACTAGTCAAGGCAGAACTGAATAAGTAGTTGTATTTTGAGTTGAGTAACAGTTGTAAACTCTTTGTTGAAATTTGTTCTCTTTGTAGTTTTGGAATTGTGAGTTGCAATTCAGGGGCGGGAGTGTTGAGACCAAATTTCTTTATGTTCGGTTTGCGGTAGAGCGCCCTCTTTGGTAGATGGGGATTAGACTTTTGTTTGACCTGGTCTCGTGCAGTCAGCCGTTTGTTGATCAGAGAAACTTGTTGTGTAGTGAGCGACGCCAAGTAAAGCACGCTGGTATGTACAGTTTGTTATTCTACTATGTTTTCCAATTCATTTTTTAGTATACAGTTGACATTATTGTATATTTCTGAAAGGTTTTGTTGCTGAATTGTTTCAACTATGTGACTTCTGCTCGGTACGTTATGTTATCGCTCGCGACTCATTTGCATATGTTTGCGCTGACTGATTTCACTAGTGAGAGTATTTGCTGTATTTTACGTCTGATTTATTGATTTATGCATAGTTTTGTAATTCTATGTCTTCAGAAATATTGTATTTGTTATATTCTATAGAATTTTACCGGTATCTAGTGGTTTCTGGTTTATAGACAATATTTTATTATTTGCTTTCCCAGTATTGAAGGACAGTTGTTGTAAAGCAAGCCGTTAGCACAAGCTGATGTTAGTCCCTTCCATTGGAGGTGTTGGGAAATTGTTTCGGTGAGACATGGTTCTTTATGCTATTATACTTATATTTTATTGGATTAAATTTTCTTGTGTGACTTGTACATGTATATGCCTATGGACATTTATGTTTGTATTTTGAGAATATTTGAGTACTGTATTTATTGATTTCTTTGTGTATCTTTCAGTTAATCGTATCGTGTCATATCGCATGTAACGCATGGTTATGTGATAGATGGTGCGCATTAAAGACAATATAACCCTCAAGTCAAGCCTCCATGGTGTTATTTAATTTCATTGCATGAAAGGGACCCACATCTCTCATTAACGAAACATTCTATTGGTGAAGGGATATTCGTCAAAATGGATGAAGATAGAAACCGGAAGTTAACCCCTCAAGGACAGACATATGCTGAAGAGGTAAAGTTTAAGGCTCTTGGGGAAGCATGGAGGAGTGTGAAGTCTGTATCTGAGAAAATAAAGTCCCTGATGGCAGAAAACCCTCTGATTGAAAGTGTTAAAGATATTCATACTGAGTGGATGAATAAATATGAACAGTTTCTGAAGTCCAATGATAAGTACTGTGCCTTGTTAAGTGAACATGATCGTGCTGAACATTTTGAGAAATGGTATGATGAGAAAGATGTTTGGGTCACAAATTTAAAGTCCCAAATAGAGAGCTGGTTTTCATCTATGTCAAAAAATGTCAAAGCTGTCACTGGATCACGGTCTACAGTGAGTTCAATGAGAAGTAAGAGATCTTCAATAAAGTCTATTGAAAGAGTAAAGGAATCGGAGTTAATAGAAAAGGAGAAGTTGGTCAGAGATAAGCAAGCACTAGAGATGAAGCTGAAATTATTGGAAATACAAATGCAGCACCAAGCAGAAACACACAAGATCCAAACAAAGTTAGCAGTGTCCAGAGCCAGAAGTCAGCTGATAGAGGAGCTTGAAAATGATACTGACAGCCAGTCTTTGGGCAGTGAATGTGACAGTATGAATGGTGCTGAGAATGAAGGTCAGCTAAGTGAGCTTGAAGATGGTAAATCAGTATCAAACAAAATATTGTTGCCTGACAGTTCGAAGATTTCTAACAAGAACTTCAGTGATGTGTTGATTGAGATGCAGAAGCCTAAACTTGAGATAACAAAGTTTGGTGGTGACTGTTTAAGCTACAATAAGTTCATGAGACAGTTCAAATCAAGAATAGAAAGTTCCTGTGCCAATGATGAGAAAATAGCTTATCTGGAGCAGTTCACAACAGGTGAAGCACACCGTATTGTAGTTGGTTTCTCGTACCTGGATTCTGATGTTGGTTACCCAGCTGCCATGAAGGAACTAAAGAGAAGATATGGTGATCCAGAGGTGATTGCTAATTCTTACATAAAGAAGGTGCTGTCTTGGCCACATATCCGAGGTGATGATGCAAAGGCCCTGGATGAGTTTGCTGTGTTCCTGAGGGAATGCAAGGCTGCAACCCACTGTGTCGGTAGTTTGGGTGTACTGGAATATTCAGAGAACTTGATACGCATTGTTCAGAAGTTGCCTCCTAGTATGCATGAGAGGTGGAGAAGTATTGTTCAAGGTCTTCGTAGAAATGAGAAGAGAATTGGTTTTAGTAACCTGGTAGATTTTATCCAATCAGAAGCAACTAAGCTGAATGATCCAATTTATGGCAGAGATAGCATGACTTCTGATGGAAGACAGAGAAGAGACAATGTACAGCGTAAGGTGTCTGCTGCTACAAATATTGGCAGTAGTGGACTAAAATGTTGGAGTTGTGATGGACCACATCGACTAGCTACCTGTCCAGAAGTTGAAGCAATGTCTCTAGAAAATAGAAGAAATCTTGTGAGAAAATTAAAGGTGTGTTTTCTTTGCTTTGGAAAAGGACATTTTTTCCACTGGATGCAACCTGAAGATAACTTGTGATGTGTGCAGAGGCAATCACAACACCCTCTTGCATGATTTTGCCCGACAAAAGAAGCAGAATAGCGACAACCAGCTTACCAGTAGTGCAACAACTGCTGACCAGCCAACAAGGGTCAATACTAGTGGTTGTACGATGCCTATCATTCCAGTGAAGGTGACCATGGGGTCCCAGACAGCAGAATGTTACGCATTCTTAGATCCTGGCAGTAATGTATCATTTTGCACTGATGGTTTGGCAGAGAAGTTGCAGGCAACTGGTACTGGAATGAAACTTACTATGAAGACAATGGGTGCTTCATGTAGTATGCCAACGAAGGTGATAACCCGGTCTGAGAATAGAAGCCATCAGTGGTAACGGGGTTCCAGTGCAACTGCCTCCTGTATTTACGAAGTCAAGCTTGCCCGTAGAGAAGTGGCATATACCTACCCAGAAAGATGTATCCACATGGGAACATTTGGGAGATATTGAGTTGCCAAGGTTGCAAATCAGTAGCAATATCGATTTGCTTATTGGTAACAATGTTCCAGCAGCATATGCACCTATAGATGTAAGGACAGGACCACCAGGGAGTCCATATGCTACAAAGACGCCTTTAGGATGGGTTGCCTGGGGTGTTAAGAAAGGTGGAAAGATGAAGTATTCAAGTAATTTTGTCATTGCTGACAATAGTTTAGAGAAGTTATATAGACAGAGTCTGAACTATGACTTTCCAGAGAGAACTGTTGATGACAGAAGAGAATGGTCGTGGGAAGACAGGCGCTTTATGGAAGTGATGGACAGTTCTTGTAAGATGGTGAATGGTCATTATCAAGTGGATCTCCCTCTGAGAAATCCAGATGTGAAATTGCCTAACAATCGGCATATGGCAGAGCAGAGGTTAAAGGGTCTGCAGGCGAAAATGAACAAGAATTCACAATTCAAGGCAGACTACATAGAGTTCATGGAGAAGGTGATTGCAAATGGGTATGCGGAAAAGGTTCCTGATGGAGTGACGGCTAAGAAGGGGAAAGAATGGTATATACCCCATCATGGTGTATATCACCCTAGAAAGCCAAACAAGATCAGAGTGGTGTTTGACTGTGCAGCGAAGTGTGATGGTACATCGCTGAATGATGTCTTGCTACCAGGGCCAAACCTAATGAATGATCTTAAAGGAGTACTCATGAGATTCAGAGAGTTTCCTGTAGCCTTCGCAAGTGATATTGAGTGCATGTTTTATCAGGTGAAGGTGCCTGAGAGTCAACGAGACCTGTTGAGATTTTTATGGTTACCAAAGGGAGACTTAGACCAGAAGCCCAAGGTTTATCGTATGGCAGTGCATTTGTTTGGAGCTGTGTCTGCACCATCATGTGCTAATTATAGCTTGAGAAGAACTGGTATAGACAACATACGCAATGCAAGAGAAAAAAACAGTCAACACACTACATAACAATTTCTACATGGACGATGGACTGAAGTCAGTGGAAAATGTTGAACAAGCCATTCAACTGGTGAAGGAGCTAAAGGCCTTGTGCAAAGAAGGAGGCTTCAACCTCACCAAGTGGTCTAGCAATGAACGAGAAGTTTTGAGAGAGATTCCCCTGGATGATCGAGCTAAAGAACTGATGGACTTGGATCTGGAATCATCGCAGCTTCCTACAGAGAGAACACTAGGTGTGTTGTGGAATGCAGAGACGGATGAGTTCCAATTCAAGTGTCAAATCAAGAAGACAGAGGTGACAAGAAGGTCAATGCTGTCTGAAGTCAGCTCGATTTATGATCCGTTGGGTTTTATAGCTCCACTCCTCATTCCAGCAAAGAGTGTGCTTCAAGAGATGTGCAAACAAGAAGCTGGATGGGACGATGAACCAAGTGATAACATACATGGCAAGTGGCAGATGTGGAAAACAAGCATGCAAGATTTGGAAGAAGTAAGAATTTCCCGATGCTATGTACCAGCTGAATTCGGAAACGTGACATACAGAGAGCTGCATGCTTTCGCTGATGCAAGTGAAATTGGATATGGTTGTGTTATCTACCTCAGACAAATCAACTCAAGTGAAAATATATACTGTTCATTTGTGTTCGCGAAGGCAAGAGTAACTCCTTTGAAGAAAATTACAATACCAAGATTAGAACTTACAGCAGCAACATTGGCAGTGAGATTAGTCTCAATTGTTCAAAGAGAGTTAGACTTCAAGATTGACAAAGCAATCTACTGGACAGACAGCACTGCGGTTTTGAGATATATAAGGAATGACAGAGCAAGATACCACACCTTTGTTGCCAACCGTGTTCAAGTCATAAGAGAAGCTACAGTCCCTGAACAGTGGCATCATGTGGATACCAAGAGAAATCCAGCAGACTTGGCATCACGAGGTGTTCAGACAACTAACGAATTGAATAATAGTGATTGGTTTTGTGGACCAGGCTTTCTGTGGGAGAAGGAAGCGGAATGGCCAGAACAGGTGATTTCCATGCGGATAGAGGAGAATGACCCAGAAGTGAAGACTAGCTGTGCAACCATTGAGTTTGAAGACACATCAATTATAGATTCCTTATTGACGAGAATTTCTGGTTGGTGGAAATTGAAGAGAGTAATGGGCTGGGTCATCATTGCTAAGAACAAGTTCCTCAAGTTCATAGGAAAACTGGAATGCCAATTTGAAGAAGTTGTCCAGTGCCTAACTCCAAAGATGTTATATGAAAGTGAAGTAGCAGTTGTTAAATATGTTCAAAGGAAGGCATACATAGAAGAGATAGAAGTCCTGTCCAAAGGCAAGACAGTGACAAAAAGAAGTCCTCTTTTCAAGTATGACCCCGTGTTGACAGATGATGGTATTATTCGTGTTGGTGGACGACTGAAGAAGGCAGACTTGCTTTATGAGATAAAGCATCCGATTGTGTTACCAAAGAACTCACAAGTATCTGTAATGATTGTTCGGGATGCTCATTCTACTGTTGGTCATTTGGGAAGAAATAGTATTTTGGCGAAAGTCAGAGAGAAGTATTGGATATATGGAGCAAGTCAGTTGGCGAAAAGAGTAGCGAGAAGTTGTGTCACATGTCAACGGTATCACGCAGCACCATGTGAGCAGGTAATGGCTGAATTACCAGCTGATAGAGTTGTTGCAGAAGTATCACCATTTACATTCTGTGGTATGGATTATTTTGGGCCTTTAACTGTGCGCAGAGGGAGATCTGACGTGAAACGGTATGGTGTGATTTTCACTTGTTTTTCTTCCCGAGCAGTCCACCTAGAGATCGCGCACTCGTTAGAAACTGATGCATGCATAAATGCTATACGCAGGTTCATGGCCAGAAGAGGTCCTGTTAGAAGCATCAGATCTGACAATGGCACCAACTTGGTTGGGTCAGAAAAGGAGTTGAGACATGCACTTGAAGGTTTGGATCAGTCCAGAATGAATGATGTTCTGTGTGCAGAAGGCATAGAGTGGCACTTCAATCCTCCAGCAGCATCTCACTTTGGCGGAGTGTGGGAGAGAATGATTCGTAGCATAAGGAAGATTTTGTACAGCCTGTTGAGAGAACAACCCCGAATTGTTGATGATGAGACGCTCAGTACTTTATTCTGTGAGGCTGAGAATATTGTCAACAATAGGCCACTGACTACAACGTCATCAGATCCTAATGATTTACTACCATTGACACCTAACATGCTGATTAATCCACGAGCTCGTGCACTTAGTTCGCCTGGAGTGTTCGAGAAGAGTGACATGTATGCAAGAAAACGTTGGCGTCAATCTCAGTACTTGATAGATGTATTTTGGTGTCGCTGGAGAAAGGAGTATTTAGTTACCCTGCAGCAGAGACCGAAGTGGCAGAGAAAAAGACGCAATGTACAAGTTGGAGATATTGTGCTTGTTGTTGACAAGTCGGTACCCAGAAATAGTTGGTTGATGGGAGTAGTAGAAACAACTTTTAAGGACAAGAAAGGCGATGTAAGATCTTGCAGAGTGAGGACCAAGACGTCAATCTTAGAAAGACCTGTCGCTAAATTATGTATACTAGTCAAGGCAGAACTGAATAAGTAGTTGTATTTTGAGTTGAGTAACAGTTGTAAACTCTTTGTTGAAATTTGTTCTCTTTGTAGTTTTGGAATTGTGAGTTGCAATTCAGGGGCGGGAGTGTTGAGACCAAATTTCTTTATGTTCGGTTTGCGGTAGAGCGCCCTCTTTGGTAGATGGGGATTAGACTTTTGTTTGACCTGGTCTCGTGCAGTCAGCCGTTTGTTGATCGGAGAAACTTGTTGTGTAGTGAGCGACGCCAAGTAAAGCACGCTGGTATGTACAGTTTGTTATTCTACTATGTTTTCCAATTCATTTTTTAGTATACAGTTGACATTATTGTATATTTCTGAAAGGTTTTGTTGCTGAATTGTTTCAACTATGTGACTTCTGCTCGGTACGTTATGTTATCGCTCGCGACTCATTTGCATATGTTTGCGCTGACTGATTTCACTAGTGAGAGTATTTGCTGTATTTTACGTCTGATTTATTGATTTATGCATAGTTTTGTAATTCTATGTCTTCAGAAATATTGTATTTGTTATATTCTATAGAATTTTACCGGTATCTAGTGGTTTCTGGTTTATAGACAATATTTTATTATTTGCTTTCCCAGTATTGAAGGACAGTTGTTGTAAAGCAAGCCGTTAGCACAAGCTGATGTTAGTCCCTTCCATTGGAGGTGTTGGGAAATTGTTTCGGTGAGACATGGTTCTTTATGCTATTATACTTATATTTTATTGGATTAAATTTTCTTGTGTGACTTGTACATGTATATATGGACATTTATGTTTGTATTTTGAGAATATTTGAGTACTGTATTTATTGATTTCTTTGTGTATCTCTCAGTTAA